GAGAGAGGAGAGAGAGAGAGACAGAGAGAGAGAGAGAGAGCATAATCTATATATATATACTATATACTATATATATATATATATATATATATATACATATATCTCTCTCTCTCTCTCTCTCTCTCTCTCTCTCTCTCTCTCTCTCTCTCTCTCTCTCTCTCTCTCTCTCTCTCTCTCTCTCTCTCTCTCTCTCTCTCTCTCTCTCTCTCTCTCTCTCTCTATCTATCTATCTATCTATCTATATCTATATCTATATATATTCAGCGTGTTTTCCGATCAATGACGTAATTGACCTATGGCCCCCGAAGAATTTCTACCTCTCAGCAGAAAGCTGTCGACAGTCGGCCAAGACATGGCAGCGAGTCGGCGTTTCGCAGCATCTCTGCATGAGGGCTCTTGGGCATTGTTTAATCGAAGTATGTGCGTGTTGTGCGTATGACCGAGGCGTAAGCGTGAAAGTGTAACCTCTTCATTACGCGATTTCAAAAATGATGACGCCAAGGCGACGATGAACATTTTGTTAGCTTTCAGCTTGTTCGAACGGCGTTCCTCGCGCCATCTGGCTAGCTATTTGGCAATCGTATACTCATCCGCTTTTACGTACATGTCGCTTGCAGGAGTTCGCAATAAACTCACGTGTTAGAAGCGTGGCAGACTTGGTCGCCTGGTGCGCTCTGACCGGAATACGAGCCCTTACGGGAGGCACGTTTAGTTTGACTCCTCTCCTTCGGCCGGGAGGGGCGCGAAAAAAGCACGAACCGCGGCAACAGCACAGTCGCCGCAATGTTGACGTTATGTGACATATATATATATATATATATATATATATATATATATATATATATATATATATGTGTGTGTGTATATATATATAATGTATATATAACCAACAATGTCTTTAAATGCTGACAAAAATGCGCCAAAACTTTTCTTACATGGGCTCAGCTCAGTTTTTCTATTTTTTACCGCTGCCACGCAAATAAAAAAACAACAGGGACGTCGCTAATGACGTAAGGACAGGGGGGGGGGACATGGTGGTAACGTTGCATGGACCAAGATGTTTTCACTAGATATTGACGTATTTCGCAGCAACGATCTACATTCGTAGGAGTTGGAAGAGAACTTGGCATTTGGCCGCCACCTGAAGTAAGGCAGGAGGACTCGAGGCTCATAAATCGGCTCCCGGCCGGCGGTTGACCACTGCTTTACTTCTATAACGTTTGTCAGCACATATAGCAGCGCAATCTGATCACAGGTCGCAAGAAGTATTTATTCCCGTTGTTCTTACTGACAAAATGCAAATCACCGAAAAGACCATGTGCCCAAAGACTCCATTGCCTTATCAAGAATGGGCCCACCAGCGGCCACGGATCATGCCGCCAGTCCGCTGCTGGTGGCCATTGATTCGTTGGATGGAGCGCCATGCGCAGTATCCTGGAATGGGCGGAATCCTCTTTGTCGAAAATTCATGAAGACGGCCCTCAAAGGTGACGAACTCTCTTCAAGCCATCATCACGTCATAAGAGGATTCTTAGAATATCTTTGAAGTATGCCTAACTCACATGACAGAGGGCGGGGCACTACCCATTGTGTAGCAGGCACGTGACCTGGCATGCGGGACACTACGCTCGTGTGAGAAAATATGCTGGCTATTGGCACTAAGACGGCAAGATACAGTACATGACTGATCTCTGCCCAGAAAGGTCAAGGCAGTTCAAGAATCAAGGATTCATTAGTTCAAGATTCAAGGTTGCCGTGGCCGCCAGTTTGGTTTGCGTGCCCCTCGTTACGCGGTCGTTCGATTTCATGGGCTACATGCCAGCGCACTGTTTGCAATGAGGCAGCTGGCTGCCAATGCGGCCATCAGCGAGCCGTCTTTCTTTTTACGATTGTCTGTACTCAAACTGCCGGCTTGGCGGCAGTCCGGCGAGCCGGGCCAAAGCGCCCGGCCTCGGCCGTCCACAGTCCACCAACGCCCCGTCCCGGCCGTCCACAGTCCACTGACGCCCCGCCTCGGCCGTCCACAGTCAACCGACGCCCCGCCCCGGCCGTCCACAGTCCACTGACGCCCCGCCTCGGCCGTCCACAGTCCACTGACGCCCCGCCTCGGCCGTCCACAGTCCACTGACGCCCCGCCTCGGCCGTCCACAGTCCACTGACGCCCCGCCTCGGCCGTCCACAGTCCACTGACGCCCCGCCTCGGCCGTCCACAGTCAACCGACGCGGCGCCGCGGGTGCGTCACACCATTATTCTTTCTCAGCGGCGGCTCCTAGCGGCACTGTATGATTTGGCTGACCGACCGCTGAAGTCCCGTCCGTCACTGATCCTTGGTGCTAGGTGTGCTCCTGCTCAGTCCAGGCCGCTGAAGTCTCGTCCGTCACTGATCCTTGGTGCTAGGTGTGCTCCTGCTCAGTCCAGACCGCTGAAGTCTCGTCTGCCGCTGATCCTTGGTGCTAGGTGTGCTCCTGCTCAGTCCAGACCGCTGAAGTCTCGTCTGCCACTGATCCTTGGTGCTAGGTGTGCTCCTGCTCAGCCCAGTCCCGCTGGAGTCCCGTCCGCCGCTGATCTTTGGTGCTAGGTGTGCTCCTGCTCAGTCCAGGACGGGACTTCAACGTTCCGCTGAAGTCCCGTCCGCCACTGACGCTCGGTGCTAGGCGCGCTCCTGCTCAGCCCAGTCCACTGTCTGCTCTTTCCCGTACCTTCATAGACGGAGGAACCCGTCCAGAACTGAGCAGGTGTCTCACGAACTGTAAATTGCCTTTCGATACACAGCAGCATGCTTCCTGTTAACGCGTAATGGTGACTCTCCTCCCCCTCCCCCTTCCCAGCCGCAGCTCTGTTCCTCCCGCTCCTTCGAGACAGGCTGGGAGGGGGGGGGGGGGGGCGCACTAGTTGGCAAGATGGTGCGACTACGCTCCTGCGGGCAGGTGGGGTCGCGTCTCATGTCAGCCGCCCGCCCGCTCAGATCAACACACCGGAACAGCCGACAGGCTGGCCATAACAGCGCGTCAGGCGGACGGACAGCGACACGGGGCCATACCGGAACCTTTTAACGTCAGGCTCGATGAGCAGAGAGGTCAGACAGCCTCCACTTCTGCCGGAGAGCGCCTCGCGTGCATCACGCCAGTTTTGCTCTCCCCTTCACGGAAGCAATATCTTTCTGATCGGGACCGCGGAGTTTCCCCCATCTAAATGCCATGGCGTCTGCGGGTGATCTCGCAGCCTGCCGGACGTCGGCGCCAGCCGCCAGATGTGCGCCGCTGCCTGGGGCCGGAGACGGCTCAGATAAGGCGCGCGGCGGCGGCGGCGGCGCTGCGGGCCGGCTAGCTCAGCCAGTCCCGGCCGCACGGGGCCTGCGCTCGGTGCTCGGCCGCGTTTATGGAGCTTGACATGCTACCATGAAAAACCCAAGTCATCCTTATCGAGATTTGTAAATTCATAGCTTTTCGAGCAGGCCACATCCAATTTACATCACTCTTTGACACGTGCCTCGCAGACAACGAGATAAATTGTAACAAGCAATGTTGCAACCACCATTTGCGACACACGAAACAACAAAATGGTCATTTTTTCAAGAAATTCAAAGACTATTTGTGATGAAAGTGTATGCTTAATGCAAAAACTTTAATTGCCGCATTGCCGAAGATTTAAAAACTGTCAGTTTGCACAAAGGTAAAATGTGGACTAATACCAAATCGGGGCTCATGCGATGGGGTATGCAAATGTTTTCAATGTGGGAAAAACAGCCCAGTTCAGCGTCCAAGCAGCGCAACCGGATCTCCGCACTGGCGCACTAGCAATCCAAGAAAAGAAAACCCGTGCGTCCGCTGTGTGAAGGGAAAAGTCAGTGGAGTGTGAAAATATTGGTCGTTCGTCACACTTGGGAAAGGGGTGATAACTTAGTTTGTCCCTGAGTAGATTCCTCCCTGATATTCCCTGAGCTTGGGCTAGGACGTACCTCCCCCATCCGCCTGCTCAGCCGGCCGGAACAGCCGTGGCGGCACCGTCAGCCCGGCCATCGGACCAGTCAGCCCGGCCATCGGACCCGTCAGCCCGGCCATCGGACCAGTCAGCCCGGCCATCGGACCAGTCAGCCCGGCCATCGGACACGTCAGCCCGGCCATCGGACACGTCAGCCCGGCCATCGGACCCGTCAGCCCGGCCATCGGACCCGTCAGCCCGGCCATCGGACCAGTCAGCCCGGCCATCGGACCCGTCAGTCCGGCCATCGGAACCGTCAGCCCGGCCATCGGACACGTCAGCCCGGCCATCGGACCCGTCAGCCCGGCCATCGGACCCGTCAGCCCGGCCATCGGACCCGTCGAACGACATCGCCGGCTGGAGCAGCCGTGGCGGCACCGTCAGCCCGGCCATCGGACCCGTCGAACGACGTCGCCGGCCGGCGCCAACGCTCTCATGCGCCGAAGACGAGACAGATCGCGCGCCGCCAACAAAAACAGAGCCGGCAGATGCCGCGGCCGCATTACCCTGGCCTTGTGCCGTCGCATTGGCGCGTCACGTCGGTTGCGCTGCGGCGGCTGTAATGGGCTGGGTCGGCCGGCCGTCGTCAGGACGACGCTGCGGTACACCGCGACCAACCGGCCGGCCGGCCCCGGCCGCTCCGGTGGCGCACACTGGGCTACTTCGAGCGCAAAAGTGGCCGAACACCAAGCTTGGTAAGCAATGTACGTAGCAACAGCATTTAGGGCTCAAATGGAAGCCAGGAAAGTATACCTGTGACAGGAAGGCCAAAAGGGCCGGAACCTCGACCTCAGCGACCAATGAATATATAAACATTATTTCGGGCTCACAGAAAAGCCGGGAATGTACTTCACTTGTTCTCTGACAAAGTTAGTGTCATGTATCCATTTCTCACATGTCGTGAAATGTATGGTGTGACTCTGGGTGGTATTGCTCCTTAACAAGTTGGAATAAATCACAACAGGTGTGGCTCATTACATCATACCAAAACAGCCTTCCGGAATTGCACAATGATAGCGTAGAAGAATGGGACATCTTTGACAGCCACTTATGTCGTGGTACATATGCCTTTTTCCTGCAAAATCCTGGCATAACGGACAGAATAGTCAATGGGGATAAGCATAGGAGCATCTGTTAGAAAACGATACTTTGATAATTGGATGGTCCTTGAGCCGCGGCGCAGAGATCGTCTGTCGTTACACCCCGCTTCGAAGTTGCAGTGGTGTAGTGTATATGTAGGTCCCTTTGGAGGAAAGAGGAGGCTATTCCCCGGAAACTTCAGACCCCATTTAACGTTCTCAACATGTGCTTAATTAATTGTGCTTTATATAATTAATTTACTCAAACGTACTCAAAATGGCGTATACACCGTCTCTTATTTCCTTATTTCCAGGCCACTTTTAAACATCCTTCGAAGCCAATATAAAAATACATCACACTCTACCAGTCACGCAAACCAATGTGCCACTGTCGTTTCCCTGCTTTCGTCCTGGAAGCACGCAAACATAAATGCATCATAATTCACATACTACGCAACCAAGCATGCGAAGCATCGCCATTGGCACATCCGTGACAGCATGATGAATGTTCTGGTAGCAATTACTTCCATATGGCGTGACACAGTGACAGGTGACGAGGGACAGAGCACAGGCTCGGTAGACGCACGATATCCGACCGGAAAGCGGATGCCGCCCGTCATGACGTCACGTGTCGGTATGGCATCCGTCCAATGACACTTTCATGACG